GAGACGCACAGCCGAGTAGACACACTTGTACGTAGATGCCCGCAGGTCTGCGTACGTGTATGGGTTGCTGTGTGTGTGTGAGTGTGAGTGTGTGCGCTTTTCCGCCTGTGTTCAGGGGCCATCCATCATTTAGACGGATCGAGGCGAGTGACAAGTTTGAGTCGTCTCAATCCGACCTCCTTGACAGTCGAGGTGGCGGTGAGGGGTACAGAAATCGCCCATTTGGAAGCAGCAGACGAGATTATCATCCAGAGATTTACAGAAAATTCACTCTTCTCTAACTACCGTCTGACAAGAGGCTCGAGTATGCCACCTCTTCTCGCCTTCACTCACACGAAAGCTCGTCGTTTATGCCAAAACACACATAGGTCACTGCATACACTTCAGCCTCTTCCCCCTACCTCAGATGCATATCTGTTCACTGTTCTCTTGCCTCATCAGCATACCATGCCAATTGCCTAATTACCGAATCAAAAGACAGGTTCCATCAAGTGTGCGTAAGTCGATGAGACCAAAGGCAGCGAGGAAGACGACATCGAGGACATGTGTCGCATAGCATCAGAAGAACATTCTCCAAATCGACTCCATTCGACTACTTCTCCCTATCGTCCCTTCCTCTTGGCACCCTCATCCGCTCTCTCCCTCAATCCCTCTATCTTTCTCTCTCTCTTCCTCATTTTGCTTTCCTGAGTCCACGAGACTGGGATTTTCGGCCTCCCCCCAACCGAGCGCGCGACCAGCCACTAACCACCACTGCCCAAACAGTAGCTGCATGCATGCATGTAAGCGTCAACTAAGAAGAGGCTGAAAGAGAATTGATTTATATTTCCTTTAGTTAGGGTCAAAGGTTGGTAAAAGGGAGATTGACCTGTAATATGAGTGAAAGAAATGAAGGGGAGAAGCTGGAAGCGCTAGAGATCCGCACAAAGTGTCAGCAGGCATCGGTCAGAGGGAAAAACAAGTCTCGAAAGCAGTCGCAACTTATTTGGCGAGAAGAAAAGGGATGCTGCACAGATGATGGATACGATGTTCGTGCCTGAAGCGAACACCAAATAACCACTTAAGGCACAATCAAAGTCAAAATCGCATTTCTGTCTGTCACAGAAAATGGATCAGATAAGTACATTTGAGTTGTAAACAACTGTGATTGCGGAAATAAGGGTGGAATAAAAGTGGACTTGAATCTATTGTCTGGCAGGCTAGATGGTAATAGTTTGCATATATCCAAGCGATAAAATAACCGACCAATTTTTGGTATGAGTGCATTTTGAAACGAACCTTAATTCATAAATAAGTTGGTTGGGGTTTTTCCCAAAACGATGCGACGTTTCGCAAAAGGTGGAATAAACTCTATTATAAATCATTAAATCATATTAATTGACTCAGCTCTTATTCAAGAAGTTTGTCAATTGAACTCATTGTAAACCAAAGGAAGCCTGTGACATGACTTTCCATTTGTAGGTTGGTGCTCATGTTTTCATGCTATGAACATTACTTACACACAATAGACAACAGCACAAATCAAAGCATGAGTCAACATTAGATAATCGGGTGCTAGTCTATTTGCGTAAGGAAACAGCTGCCACCGAACGCACTTCCGGTTCGTAAAGTAATTTTATTTCATTTGTAAGCATTTAGAGTAAGGTTGAAGTAGCCAGCCAAATCATGGGATGCCTCATTAAGATTTGGAAGTCAAGTGCATAAAAAAGCGACTATGGTTGTAACCGGCCCCCTTTTTTTCTTGGTTTACTATATGTTTGTTCTATTTCAGAAAGTATAGATTCTTACTCTGATGACGTCTGTCACAGTGCAGACGAAAGCTTAGCACAGATTCATCGGGGTGGCAGGACGGTGAACCGAGGACGTCTTCACACGATACAACAGTATTCACTACGCGGCAACCCTCTTTCGGCTTTGGGAGAGATCTTTTGCGAATTCCTTCTAACCAATTTTTCCTCCGAAATGGAAAGCCATATCACAATATATCACTAAGGAATTTTTTGAAACCCACTTTTTGTTCATATCTTCACAGGAAGATTGTTTTACAACTCTCATGAGGGTAGATTTGACTTTAGTATTCATTGAAGCCCCATTGCTGGAACTCGATAATTCTTTATAAAATGAGAATGATAACCAGCTACAATTAAAAGCAATGGAATGTTACTCCGGAGTATTCTGGCACAAATTCATAGAGGTCGGATAAGAGTAAGGGAGGTGAAACAATCTTCCTTTGTTTTCAGATGGGACTGATCTAGGAGAACATCAAACCAAACGTAGCAAAGGAAATGCAACCTTCAGCGAGACCAAATTCTAACAATATCCTTTTAAATCTAACTTTCAACATGAATTCACTTTTGTTGACTTTTGACTTATTTCTGACGATTTAGGTGAGGCCCGGTACTTGACAGATTCACACATTAACTTGTAATAACTAAGCCGAAATCGACTCCACAGCTATTCCCAAAAAAACTCTATATTATCCCCTCTAATTGTCTTCTTACCTCTTATACATCACTAAAAAACACAGACAATCAAGAGAAGAATCATGATTTTACCTTCCCTTCAAAGAATCATGAAATTTGCGTGAATACATCCTAGATCACATATGGTACTGCAAGGACGGATAATGGAGATGTATCCACAATTATATGAGTTAGCTTCTAGTTAGTAAACTTATTCACTAAGCCAGTGTCGTCCAAAATGTTTTCTTATCCAGTCTGGACTGCAGTTTTGATCCCACCCGGACTCATTTACCCCTTCTACGCGATTCGAAACCGGGACTGTGCCTCTTTGTGACACACTAACACTCCATTTTACAATCAACAGTGCCAGTTAATCATAGGACAGATGTGATTTTCAAGGCAAGCCAGGCCCCCCTCAGCTCATCACTTTATAGTAAGATTGTCAGTAATGCATACACGTATTAGCCATTACATAAAATGTATCCGACACTACGATATTGGAGTGATGAATAAAACATGCTAATACCATTAAACATCGATGACTGAGAACAGACGTTACCTTCGTGTCTAATTCCTTTGATCCATCATTGTCGGTTTCCTACTTATACTAACACATCAAGGCACACAAGATCAAAAACCTACATAAACATATGACATATAACTTAAACTAATCCAAAAACATGATACCTCACCAAAATGCATAGATTTGGGGTATATATTCAGGATTTAGGGATAGGACAGTAAGATTTCTTGACTTGCTATCTTAAACTTAGTTGAAAAAAGGATACCCTGTGCTAATGAGATCCATCGAATGACGAAAGAAATCTTAGCAAGTTCTCACCGGAACAGCGCCAACAATGTGTTCCAATAAAGCCAATTGATAGCTGCTTGCTTAGCCAAATTATCCTTTTTACAATTTCCATACTCAGCCACCATCTTCTGATAGGATCGATCTGTGGAAAGTTTGGTTTTGATGAATCCCTTGATTCATAATTGTTGAGCTTACTTCCATTTCAAGTGAAAGTTTTTGGTAAAGAGATTGGAAGGTCGATCCCTTCAGAAGATAACGGCGCATTCCTCTTGATCAGCTGCGGATTTGCTTTACTGGAGAATTCTTATTAACGCTGCTTCCAAGGCGATCTCCTTCGATTCCGCTGAAAACGTGCTAAGCTTTCGTTCATCGCATTACGGACATCAGCAGAGCAGGGTATCACCCTTACGGCCATATTTAAGCTAGGGCATCAAGACAACTCACCGGCCCATCCATAAAATGCTGTATATCTACTCTATATATGATTTCTTTGATGAGCTATAAGGCGATTTGGTTAGTTCCGGTCATATGTCAATCATATGTATGTCTCTATATATGTATGTGCGTGCATGTGTTCGCATATGTACGAAACAGCAATGATGGCTCAAAGTAATTAGAACAGAAAAAGTAAGGTCTGTTTTCGGACATCAAGGTTTGTTGACCACCATCACGCCCTCTATGTACAGAT